AAATCAAATCCTTCCTACATTCCCTAATACCTCTCTTATCTCCACAACTAACTCTTCTCACATTCATTTATTACAGTGCACAGCTAATGCAAACGATGCGAGTTTGCGAAACGTCGTTCCTGGTCTCCTTAAACCCCGTTCCAAACTACATGTTCGAGCATTCAATGTACGGACATTGTGTCAAATAGGGCAACAGGCATCATTAGCTAGGACTTTAGAATCTCGTTCCATCGATGTATGCTGCGTCTCGGAAACGCGCATACAGGATCCGAGTAGCATCACTCATTTGACCTCACCATGTCAAGATAAAGAAGCAGCTCGATTTACCCTTCGTGTATCCGGTAGCCCTGATGCTGCTTCTAGGGGCCTCGCCGGTGTAGGTATAGCATTGAGTCGTAGGGCAGAACAATCTCTCCTTGACTGGATCCCTGTAGATAGTCGCTTGTGCGCCGTCCAACTCAACGGGACAGTAAGGACTCGGAAAGATAGGGACACTCGCCGTTGCCTCTTCGTCATATCAGCCTACGCCCCCACTCACTGCAGCCCAGATGATGTAAAAGATGAGTTTTACAGAAAGCTTTCGGACCTCCTCCAAAGATTTAAGCGCTCTGATATAGTTATAATGGCTGGTGACTTCAATGCACAAGTAGGTAGACTAAGTGAAAATGAAAGACACCTAGGTGGATGTTACGGTCTCGCTGCTCAAAGAACAGACAATGGCGACCGTCTGTTGCAACTGTGCTCAGATAACCAACTATTTCTAGCAAACACTAATTTTAAGCATAAAGAAAAACACCTTTTGACCTGGCGACCCCGGAAGTCGTCTCAACGTTGGACACAACTAGATCATATCGCCATCAGCCACCGATGGAGGGGTTCGATAGAGGACTGTCGCTCGTTCTGGGGCACATGTTTAGATTCAGATCATGCCCTAGTGCGAGCACGTATTTGTTTGAGGCTTGATGGACGTAGAAAAGACACCGTAAGGAAGCCTCTTAGGGCTTTACTTGATGATAATCAAGCTAAGAAAATATTTCAGGAGGAACTAGAAAAACAGTTAGGCGGCCATGCAAGTGATTCCCATCCTGAAGCAGGTTGGAATCATATCAAGAAGGCTGTGGAAACAGCAATGGTATCTACTAGCAAGGTAAACCACAATGCTAGGATGAAGCAGTGGATTTCAGTCGCATCCACCGAACTGATGGATGCTCAAAAACGCATCCCACCTGACTCTGAACATGATGAAGAGCGTAGTCAGCTTAGGCGCAGACTTATTAAAAGCCTACGTAACGACCGTGAACAGTGGTGGGTGGCGAAAGCAAAAGCGATGGAAAAGGCAGCGGCGATAGGCAACAGTAGACAACTTTTCCGCCTTATTAAAGAAACCGGTATTAAGAACCCGAATGTGAGTGAGACTATCTCGGAAAAGGATGGTCTTATTATCCATTCTCAATCTAGGAGGCTGGACCGATGGGCAGAACACTTTAGGGATCAGTTCAACTGGCCTTCAGCCACACTTCGGTTGCCCACGATCTCCAGTCGTCCTGAATGGCAAATCGATTTAAGTCCTCCCAGTTTACATGAAGTTGAGAAAGCTATAGGAAATCTAAAGGGAGGTAGAGCGGCAGGTCCCGATAGGCTTACCCCTGAGATGTTTAAGTATGGTGGTCCAATTTTAACGGTTAGACTGACCGAGATCCTAGGTAGAATCTGGGAAATGGACGTAATCCCATCTGACTGGTCTCAGTCGCTAATTGTCCCAATCTACAAGAAAGGACAGAAGTCCTCTTGTGACAATCACAGGGGAATAAGTTTAACTAATATAGTTTCTAAATTGTTAGCCTCGATTATACTTAGACGTCTAACTAGAGCTCGTGAAGAGCAGACTAGAGAAAACCAGGCTGGTTTTCGACCTGGACGTGGTTGTATAGACCATATCTTCGCACTACGACAGGTCCTGGAACACAGACACACATTTAGACGTCCGACGATAGTTGTTTTCCTGGACCTTAAGGCGGCATTCGACTCTGTGGATCGTGAGGTTCTGTGGCAGTGTCTGTCATTGAAAGGTGTACCAAAGAAGTACATTAACCTTATACAAGCTCTCTACTCGAACACCACTGGTTGGGTGAGAGCATATGGCGAACTGTCATCTGAATTCTCTAGATCAAGTGGTGTCCGTCAGGGCTGTCCACTCTCTCCATTCTTGTTTAACTTTGTCGTAGACATCCTCTTAGAGTTAACAATAAGCTCGTCAGATTTTTCAGGGGTTGACCTTGTACCAGGAAAGTCGCTTACTGATCTAGAATATGCCGATGACATAGTTCTGTTCGGTGAAGACGCTGACAAAATGCAGAGTCTTCTGACTACCATAAGCAACAATGCGAGCATGTTCGGGATGCGGTTTTCCCCCTCGAAATGCAAAATGTTGCTTCAAGACTGGGTTGCTTCGGCACCTGAACTAGTGATAGGGAGTGAAGTAGTCGAGCGTGTTGATCACTTCACTTATCTGGGGAGTCTCATCAGTGCGTGATATCCGTTCGCTAACCAAAGGGCGGGTGTACTGCGCAGCAGTTCGTTCCGTTCTCTTATATGGCTGTGAAACATGGCCGTTAAGAGTAGATGTTCGTAGGTTACTAGTATTCGATCATAGATGTTTAAGAAGCATTGCTCGTATATCGTGGGACAACCGAGTAAGCAATGCTGTCGTTAGGAAACGAGTACTTGGTAAGGATGGCAAATCAATAGATGAAGTATTGAAACTTCATCAGTTGAGGTGGTTGGGACATGTGTTACGTATGGCTAACCACCGACTGCCCCGACGAGCTATGTTTTGTGGTGTAGGAGTAGGTTGGAAGAGAGCTAGGGGCGGCCAGACCAAAACATGGCAGAAATCCATGAAGTCACTGACAAGTGGACTGAGTCATGTTGGTAGATGTAGACTACCTGGTTGGGGTCCGCGAGACGAAAGTCATCAATGGTTAGAGACCTTGAACGACATGGCTCAAAATCGTTTACAATGGCGCAGGTGCATCCACTCTTTGAGCTCTCTCAAATCCTAATCTTCTGGATTAGCCAGCACCTCTACCTTTGTCTTTCTAACCTTATCTCACTGAATTATATTTTTTGAATAATATCTTCGAACTCTAGTCTTCTTTATTAACATTAATACCTCTACTATCTTTATCACTATGGGATTTGATTTGACATTTGCGTCTCTGTGCTAATAATGTGGTATGGCAACATGAACTTATGTACATACGTACGAAGTTCTACGTTGCAACTGACTGACTGATGTGTGCTGCGTCTCGGAAACGCGCATACAGGATCCCAGTAAAATTATTAGTTGTCAAAATAAAGAAGCAGCTCGATTTACTCTTCGTGTATCTGGAAGCCCTGATGCTGCTTCCAGGGGTCTTCACACTACGATAGGTCCTGGAACACAGACACACATTTAGGCGTCCTACAATAGTTGTCTTCCTGGACCTAAAAGCGGCATTTGACTCAGTGGATCGTAAGGTTCTGTGCCAGTGTCTGTCATTGAAAGGTGTACCAAAGAAGTACATTAACCTCATACAAGCTCACTACTCAAACACCACTGGTCGAGTGAGAGCTTATGGCGAAGTGTCACAGGAATTCTTCACTTCAAGTGGTGTCCGTCAGGGATGTCCAGTTTCTCCATTTTTGTTTAATTTTATCATAGACATGCTCCTAGAAATAACCTTATCCTCGTCTGAATTTTCAGGAGTAGACCTTTTACCTGCTGGCTCGCTTATTGACTTAGAATATGCTGATGACATAGTCCTACTTGGTGAAGACACTAACAAAATGCAGTCTTCTTACCACCCTAGGCAACAATGCAAGCATGTTCGGGATGCGTTTTTCCCCCTCGAAATGCAAAATGTTGCTTGAAGATTGGGTTGCATCGGCACCTGAACTAGTGATAGGAAGTGAAGTAGTCGAACTTGTAGGCCGCTTCACTTATCTTGAGAGTCTCATCAGTGCTGACGGTCTGGTGACTGACGAAATCTAAGCTCGGATACAGAAGGCTTGATTGGCTTTTGCCAACCTGCGTCACTTGTGGCGTAGGCGAGATATCCGTTTGCTGACTAAAGGACGAGTGTACCGTGCAGTAGTAGTTCGCTCCGTCTTACTTTATGGCTGTGAAACATGGCCAGTGAGAGTAGAAGACATTCGTAGGTTACTGGTTTTCGATCATAGGTGTCTTCGAAGCATTACTCGTATATCCTGGGACACCCGAGTGAGCAACGCTGTTACTAGGAATCGGGTGCTAGGTGAGAATGGAAGATCAATAGATGAAGTAATGAAACTTCATCAGTTGAGGTGGTTGTTTTGTAGTGTAGGAGTAGGTTGGGAGAAAGCTAGGGGCGGCCAAACCAAAACATGCCGGAAATCCATGAAGTCATTGACGAGTGGACTTACCCATGTCGGTAATTGTCGACTACCTGGTTGTGGTCCGCGATATGATAATAATCGATGGTTAGAGACATTGAATGACATGGCTCAAAATCGTTCGCAATGGCGCCAGTGCATTTATTCTTTGTTTTCTCTGAAATCCTAATCTTCTGGATTCTTCAACTTTGTAAACTTTTCCCACTGAATCATACTTCTTGAATAATATCTTCTAATACTAACCTCTCCGATTACTTCTACTACCTCAACTACCATTGGATTTGAATTGACAATTATATCTCTGTGCTGATGTGGTATGGCAACATGAACTGATGTACTTGCGTACGAAGTTCTACGTTGCATCTGACTGACTGACTGGTTATTTTTACTAACAGCAGACTAATATTAAACGCTTGTAGGAGTATACCGACGTAATGTTGAAGAATAATATTAACTCAACGTTTAGGAACTTAATGCTTGTGTTACTGAATACAGTGAAGACCTGATTGCCGTAAAACTATACTGATTTTAAAGTCAATGAGTATTCCAGACAGCATTAGCAGACCAAACCTTTGTGAAGATCACAATTATATCTCAGAAAAACGCTTAGTGTTTTATATTCTACTTATCTGCACTTTAACATTACCAAGAAAAGACGAAACAAACAATTTAATTTTGTACATGGTTTCAGTTAACGTGCAAGATAATTGAAGATTTCAGATCAACTGATATTTTTACCAACTTAGAAAAAATGGATGAAGTTTCATCAACATTGGACGAAAATCAGTTCATTTCAAGATAAGGTAACCAAAAGTTCATGTACATCGAATTGGAAGTTTATTAACTTTAATGCTGTACCTTTTAACACAAACGCATTTCGTACGTACTAAAAAGGGAACTTTTGTGATCAACAAGATATTCAAAAATCACTTTTTACATGACATCCAAAATACCCAGTGAAATTTTAAAATATATGGAGACTAGAATAAAATTAACACGACGTTCTGGACGCTTTTAAAATATCAATTTCAATTCTTTCACGGCACTTTAAAATTTGTAGTTTTTTGGTCATAGCAGTTGCAACATCTAAGCCGATTTAAAGCAACCGTTTGTGTAACAGCTCACTTAAGTTAAAATTACTGTAAAGTCTTGGAATATGATAATGAACTGAATTAATCCATATCGTTACGTCGGAAGTTACTTCTCTGAAATCTGTGATAATTCTACAAAACGAATGAATGATACCAAAAAGCGAGTAAAACTCACGTTTCTTCGACCCCGATGATTGGATCTCTCTCGATTTATTTCATCTAGAATAGATTTTGGCTTAGTAACAAACAAGGTTACCCCAATTAGGTATAACAGGGGGTGGCACATTAGCATTTGCTAAATGGTTCTGATAATTAATATCCCTGTCAGTATATCGATCTTTAAACATAATTTCCAACTCTTCAAGACTAATCAGTCCATCAGGAGTTTCTGACATCTAAAAGAAAAAAAGGCTTCAAGTGAGTAAATGTTTGGAGTGTGTGATTGCTTTGTATACCCCGTTTAACAAAGGTTCGTTTATTACAGTTTTAAAGGATCAATGGAGGAGAACATAATTAAAACAGAAGTGCATTAAGAACAAATGTGATACTTCCCACTAGAATTACCAAGGTTGAGGATTTTTCCCCAGAATTTGCTTAGAACTTTTGCAAAGCTGGGATATTTTCCAACATGGTTCCTAAATCAAGCCAGAATTTCTTAGCGCTTTACGAAAATTCTAATTCAAATGGTCTCTCTCAATTTTTATATATGATATCCCCATTAACTACGACATTCATCTACATTTTGACGCAGCACAAATGAAATTGTTTATTATGATAAATCTGACATAGAATAGGTGGATTGGCCTAAAATACATGAAGTGGGAAAAAAATCAATTTGAGTAGTAGATACGCCGAAATCCATGGAAGAAAAACCCGAAAAATGCGTCTTACGCGATGATCAAACAGTGAATAACTGGTTTTGTATGCTCGTCAAGTTACGTAAGAATGGAAGTCAATAGATTATGTACATAAAGAGCATACCATAAACACACGTATATGCGTCTGTATGTTAATGCTTTAAAGGAAAAGTGTGTGGTCCTTTTTAAAACTGCTTTCTGACCAACGAAGAGGCTTGAGAAAGACCAACCCGTCCTTGATAATTAAGATTTCAAATACTGTATCATTGAAGCAGTAAGAGTATTTTTGCACTAAGTTTAAGGCTTTTAAATTGCCATTCAAAGCTTCCGCATGAAATCGAGTCTCAGTCGAGAACTATCGCTCAAGGTAAGATACAATATTTCGACAAAATATGACCAGATTTCTCATCATACAGCCTGGAAGTCAATAAAAACCAACCAATCTGTCACACACTAAGTGTGATGAATTATTTCCTGTACATGACTACACGCTAACTGATAAGTAAAAATCACTAATCTTGCACACCGATTAAGTAACGCGTAGTGCAAATTACCGCTTTAAATATCAAAGTCCAAACATTAGGGGTTGAAATATTATTTTCAGATCAGTTTTATTAATTAGTATTGTAGATATCTTGACCTGTGTTTATAAGCGTAGATTTTTGTCTATTATGGATCCGGATTCTTCTTGAAAGTGTTCACTGATGGTGCTGATACCACTTTTCGGATAAGGCGTTCCAGTCATTGATCATACAATGTGAAAAACAAAACCAATATTTTTACAGTGACCCCAGATACGATTAGTCCTGGAGCGAAGAGATGAACCATCTATATTCAAGTCATTTTTGAAGAGACAGAATGTCAAAATAAGACAGCTCCTAGTTCTGAGATAAGATATGAGAAACGCTTTGAGCATTTTCAAATATCCAGTATCTTTCTGACGAGCTAGTATAATTCAGTTGATTTCTTTGCGCTCGATTCTTGTTCTTTCGGTACAGTTCCAGGCATTCGGCATCCAACAAATGGGGTCTGGCCACTCGACTGTCAAATACTGGTCGGTTGGTTTGTATGTCCTATGATTTGAATGAAAAATTTTGTTTCCGTAGGATTTCTGGATACCAATAGCTATCACTCTGCCATGGTGGGGCTCAGTTAGTTGCGATGTGGAGAACAATAATGATAAAAATTCTAATGCTAGTAAGAAGATTTCAGAGAGGACCGAAGAGGGAGCAAGGGAGAGGAAACAGAGAAAATAGGGGATATAGATTAAGTTAGTGATCTGAAGCGATGGCAATAATAATAACTAGCCTCATAAGAAGCGATTTTAGTTATCCATTGGATATGTAAGATCATGATACTACGTAACTGAAACGATACTCAGGGCTAATTCAGTGAATATGAAACGACATTCAGCAAATGTTCAAATGCGTATCAATACCCAAGCACCAATCAGTAATTATATATAAGCACCTGGATAAAAATCATTTACTGACTAACAGTCATTTTGAATGATTCCAAGTTTCGACTTATGTATTTCATTTTTCTCTTCAACCGGAAAGTTCTAAGTGCTCCTGAGCATGTGCACAGAAATTTCCAAGCTTTCTAGCTACAATAGGAGTCTGTATTGAGAGCACTTCCCGAGCGCCTTCCTGAAATCAGAGTCTATCGAAAAATTATTTGCGATCATCTAACTACCTTTTTAACCAGAAGCTAGTACATGATTTACAGAAGAGAACTTCCTAAGCTGTGTTAGGACTAAAAGATTTACGTCCACTAGTAGTACACGTTAATAAGAGAAGTCCCCATTCTTTGTTGTCAATGAAGTTACTATGCACAACAGATGTTCATCTGGAAGTTACTGATGGGTCTCCATAATTTCTGTCACTTTTTATATGGAATCACTAAATATGCATAGTCCCTTTGAATTTTAGGTCATAATTTATGACTTTTGCATTTGCATCAATAGTTGCGATTTCCATAATTCACTTACTTCCAATCGATAAGTTGTTACATTGATTGTGTCAGTACCGATGAAAAGGGCTATCATGTTTTGTAAAAATTAACAAACATATTCATAATCAGTATAGGGACTGTTATATTTACACACACTTGTGACCGTTCAGGATATTTAGTTTTAATAGAAAAATCAAAACAGTGTGAGATGGTGAGTCCTGATATTAACTTCAAGATGAGTTTGCAATCTACAGGATTCGAGGCAAAGTAACCGTAGATCTAAAATTTTTAATCAGTCTCAGTCATAGTTTTTCAGGGATTCATTTTATAGTAATTCGGACCAATGGATAATACAGACAAAACTATATCTAAACTTTTAGCTTCCAGATATTATCGAAGTAATCTACATGTTCCCGAAACGGGTAACTACCTTAAACAAATATAAAGATAAACTGCCTCCAGGTGTCAATATTTATATGACTAACGGTATGGGAAAGCCAAGTGAGCTACAAATTTTCTCCACCATTTGGGAAAGCCGTTAGTAAGATTTAACAATAAGTTATCAGATCCACACCCGATCAGCACTTTTTACAATGAAAAGGTTACTACGCTTCATCCTTTGGATTGAGAAACTACGAATGTGTTACGCACAGTTCATTTTGTTTGACTGACCCAACTCAATAAAATTAGTTCTAAAATCGTTCACTTTCGGACTTTGACAATATGAAGACCCATTAAAATCGTGCTCTTCTTTGAGTTATAAAGCCTTTCATGCATTTTTAGCTCTACATACTCTCACCTAACATGTCCAATAAGACGATGATAGACGTAGATAGCCCTTCAGTTACTATAAGCTGGTACAAGCTTCCTATCAACAGGTTACGCGTCGTAGTAAAGGCAGTAGCGTCTGAGAGAAATCTATCGTGACCTTTCAAGTTCCGGTTGCTTTTCTTTCGGGATGGATTATGAATTTTTGGTATCAAATCTCACTTGTTACAACATAGTGCTTTAGGTACTATGGTAAATTTGTATGGACATTTACAATGTATTACAATTAACAAAGTGTAAAGTCGGTGAATTCTTCGACACAATTCCCATTAATCTGAAAGAGAAAACCGAACTTAAGTGGAAGATCGTGACTTAACAAACCTGCCTTTCGATATAAGATATATATATATATATATATATATATATATATATATATATATATATATATATATGTATATAAGTACGTTCAGTACTTGGAACCGCACCGAAGTAACAAGAATCAAGCTCAACGAAATCATTTGTTTTGTATTAGCTCGTGAAAAAGATATTGGATGTTGATATAGTTCTGGATGTTAAATATATGCTGTGTTAAAGCTGAACAAAGATTAGGGTGAAATTGATGAGGATGTCTGATAATATTCAGTGATCTAGTTCAGTCTATAATATCCGGCTGTAACAGAATCAAAATGGTTTGATATTTGTTTCTGGGTTTAGAAATCGTCAGATACCCAGATGATAATCTAACTGAATAAAATATGTGGACTTATCAAAACTATTATGGGGATTAATCAATGACTAGGATTATCCGTCGAGGCACTGCAAAGAGATGGATATCTACATATCTTTTACTATTGTCTGTTAGAAATATTAGGCTTGAATGGTTAGCAGGATTTCTGAAGACGAGGAAATTAGAAACTAATACTGACTCAAATGAGGCAAAACAACTGTTTCACACCAAACACGTCTGAACTTCTCTCGTCGCGGCTCTTCACCAGAACTTCTAGAATTCCCTCAAAGCTCTTTACTAGTAAGCACACGGTAATTTTCATCATGAGGTCGTGAAGATTTTGAGTTTAGCTGAAATCATGAATCGATCAGTTTCATAACAACATAAGAAACCCGTAAGAACTGGATGGCCGCTTAATCAATAAATTAAACCATAGGATGTTGGGTTAGTAGTCCTGAGGTTAGGTATTTAAACGTGGGACCGAAGGTCCTGGGTACGACTCCTGCGTGCGAATGTTGTGGGTACACAACCTTGATGAGTCCATACTATGACGAAACCGCCGTCCAGTGCTTCCACTTACGTATATTACCCAAATAGCGCGTACAACCAACAGACGTAATCATTGTAAATGGACCTTCTACCCTAACAGTTCACTCCGTTTCGAATAGGTGCAGTATGGTATGCGCCCCCCCGGGATCCGAAAACAAAACAAAATAATTATGGGAGAAAAAGATCCTATTAATCAGTAAAAATGGAAAAACAGACAATTACCAAACAACATTACACCTTCCAGTTCCAATTTACTGCGGTGCGTATCCGTTTACGGAAGAATAAGTGCTTCAAGTCCGTACTTTTAAGGTATCAAATCCAAATATGGCTGTAGCTATACTTACTTACTTACTTACTTACTTACGCCTGTTACCCTCAATGGAGCATAGACCGCCCACCAGTTTTCTCCAACCAACTCTGTCCTGAGCTTCTCTCTCCAGTTCTGTCCAGTGTTTGTTCATTCCTCTCATATCTTTCTCTGTTTCTCGGCGTAATGTGTTCTTTGGCCTTCTTCTTTTCCTTTTGCCTTGAGGGCTCCATGTGAGGGCTTGTCTCGTGACGCAGTTAGGTGCTTCCCGCAATGTGTGTCCTATCCACTTCCATCTGCATCGGATCCACCTTGGTTGTCGATGATGCTGCCCAGATATATAAAGGTGTTAACGTCCTCCAAAGCATCTACATCAAGAGTGATTTGGTTGGTGCATGTTGTGTTGCATCGGAGAATTTTGCCCTTTCCTTTATGTATGTTGAGACCTACTGCTGCAGAGGCTGCTGATACACTGGTCGTCTTCTCTTGCATTTGTTGTTGAGTGTGAGATAGAAGAGCCAGGTCATCTGCGAAGTCCAGATCGTCCAGCTGCGTCCTAACTGTCCAGTTGATACCGTGCTTCCCTCCAGATGTTGACGTTTTCACAATCCAGTCGATGACCAGGAGAAAGAGAAAGGGTGAGGGTAAGCAACCTTGCCTGACACCGGTCTTCACCTCGAAACAGTCGGTTAGCTGTCCTCCGTGCACGATTTTGCAGTTGAATCCATCATAAGAGTTCCGTATAATGTTAACTATTTTCTCAGGCACCCCGAAGTGTCGAAGAAGCCTCCACAGTGTTTTCCTATCCACGCTATCGAATGCTTTCTCGTAGTCAATGAAGTTGATGTAGAGTGGTGAGTTCCATTCAATTGATTGTTCCACAATGATCAGTAATGTAGCAATTTGTTCAGTACACGATCGATCCTTACGAAATCCAGCCTGTTTATCTCGAAGTTGGGCGTCTACGAAGTCCTTCATTCTGTTTAACAATACCCTGTCGAAGACTTTGCCTGGTATTGAAAGAAGAGTGATGCCTCTGTAGTTCTCACACTTGCTGAGATCTCTTTTCTTTGGTATTTTGATCAGGTATCCTTCTTTCCAATCTGATGGTACTTGTTGCTCATCCCAAATCTTCTAGAAGAGGATGTGAAATATTTTAGCAGTTGCTTCTACATCTGCTTTCATTGCCTCTGCTGGAATGTTGTCTGGTCCTGCTGCTTTGTCACTCTTGATTTGTCTGATGGCCATACAGATCT